ATGTCTGGAGTTGTTTCTGCATCTTCTAATCTATTCCTCTTATCCTCAGGTCTGTTCCTTTGCCAGTACCATGCTTTGAAGGTATCATTTTAATGCCAACTTTCTTAGATTTTTCAGATCCTTGTTATCATTACAACTTTCTGACAGAAGGGAAACACTATACACTATATTCTCATTTATTTCATCGTAAAACTCTTTCTGTGGCTCATTGCATTGGACTAGGATTCTATGGAATATACTGAAAATTGCTAGTGTAAATGTATAATATCACAAGACCCCAAAACAGATGGGCAAATTAAGTTTATGAAAATTAATTCTAATTCATATCAGAATCCAGTAGGTTTTACCTATTGTAATGGGATTTTTAGGTTCTCTATAAAGGACCATAACTTTCTCAATGGAAATAAATTAGCATACTGCTTTCTACTTGGAAATTTCTTTAGGAATACTGATCACAGTTTTAAAAGCGTAGCTTCCACCTGCACACAGCTCTGGGTGGGTTGTGATTTAAGTCTCATTGCCTTGCTCTTACAAAACTAAAATCTAATAAAATAGCCATGCACAAATAATGAACAAAAATGTTTCCAAAATGCTGTCAGCAAATCACTATTTCAAGATGGTCCAGAAGGAAAATACTATGAACTTGATTTTTATACCCTAATGAACAATGACTTTACTATTAGACATTTATTCTCTGATTTCCTTCTGCTAAACTGCATTTTTACAATGTTTGTATCAGTGGCTCTCTCAAGTATAAACTATACCTTTTTAGAGTTCTGACCCTTTTCTTAGGATAACAAAAGAAATTCCCACCATGTTTATCAGAAAACAATGGTGGATGTGTCTGGGATGAGAAAGGACAAGAATATTTTCTTCAAATAAAAACAAACAAAAATCACATTTTTGGTGCCTTTCAACCAGTGAATACCTCTACCCTTGGTCTGTCAAGTCTATTTAAATAAATTATTTCATCTATGTTTATTCATTCTTTCCTAGTTTTTCCAAAAAATGATGAATATTGTAGTTTTCTTGGCCAGAACCAATCTAAAAAAGAAAGGGGAAGTTGAGTCATTGGTAGTTAATAGTGATACAGTTAATATACTTTTAATATCTGATTTTCCAAAGTATCAGAATTTGGCATCCAGATTAGTTTCCTAAGTGTTTATTTATGGCATTCTTAAGCACACAAATTGTGAATTTTTTAGTAACAGTCAGAATGTGTGTTGTTGGCAGAAAAAATAAAGTCGACTTACTGAAAGCAGTAAATAGGGGCCGGGGATTTAGCTCAGTGGTTCCACCACCTGCCTTGCAAGCAAAAGGATCTGAGTTCGATCCCCGGTACCAAAAAAAATTTAAAAATTTAAAAAATAAAGGCAGTAAATAAAATTTGTATCATACAGTTCATTCCTTCATTCAGCAACTATTTACTAAATCTTACTATCTTTAGGAATCGGTGTTCTAGGTGTGTGAGTGAACAAAACATAAAAATGCTCAGCCTGGTGCAGTTTACTTTCTAGCTGGATGAGGTAAATGATCACCAGCCAACTGAGTAAAAAGTAAGTTACAGGGCCAGGGATTTAGCTCAGTGGTTCTGCCACCTGCCTCACAAGCTCAAGGACTGATCCTCGTACCAAAAAAGGGAAATTACATTCTATATAAAGCATTATGAGAAAAGAAAGAGTGCCTCAGGTTAAAGGAGAGCTTTTCTTGACACCAAGTTCATCCATCCACTGGTTCAGCATTTGTTAAGCGCCGCTTGAAAGGATACACGGGGGTTTAACGGTGTAATGACAAGCAGTGTCAGGCAGGATAGGTCCTCCTGGAAAATTAGTCCATGCATCAAACAGCAAAACACCTTGGCGCCGTAATCTGCCACCATTACTACATTTCCTCCTGCTTGATCTTTCTCCATAGCACCTCCACCATGTACTATATTTCATATTTTACTAACATGTTTTTACTGCCTCCTCCCAACAAAGTGTAAGTGATTAATATCTGTTGTATATAAAATAATATCCTGCTCATGGCTTTCTCTTACACTTTCTTCCCCACCCCCACCCCGGCCATGTATATAAATTTAATGAATAAATAAAATATCTATCCATATGTTCAGCTACATACATTTGCTTAAGTTTTATCCATTTCTTGTGTAAGGATTTCAGTGTTGACAATAGAACTAATTGTTTGTTTGTTGTTTATTGTTTTTGGGTTTTTTGATACCAGTGATCAAACTCGGGTCCTTGCACTTGTGGGTCATGCAGCAGAACCACTGAGCTGAATCCCTGGCTCTAGGACTAATTGTTTTTAATACTGCTCTTCGTAATATCAGCAATGTGTGAAATGCACACTATTCTAGTACTATAAGCTAACTCTAAAAGT